AGTCTACCGCATGTTCCGGCCCTCCGCAGTACATGCAGAGCTGTTGCATCCTTCTTCTATTCCTTTTGGTTTGGGGGAGAGGACCTCTCAGTGTCCCGATTTCCATGGGCACCGAAGATTCACTTGCAGGTGGTTTTTGAGGGGTGTACGATACTGCTGAGAATCGCTCAGAACGTCTCTCTCTTAGACGCCTATACACGGAGATAGAGAGTTTCATCAGGGACTCCAATGAAGTGGGCAACTCAGTGCGGGCTAACTCGTCTTTTAGAGGTTCCGACAAGCCCAGTCTGAACTGATTGCGTAAACTAATGTCGTTCCACTCAGATTCTATCACCCATCTCTTAAATTCCGCGATATAGTCCTCTACGGGTCTGCGGCCTTGTTTGAGGGAGCGCAGAGCGGATTCAGCTGACATTTGTTTACACGGGTCATCGTAGAGAAGGGCCATAGCCTCACAGAACCCGTTAAATGTATGTATAATGGGATCCTCATTTTCCAAAAAGGTGTTGGCCCACGCACGGGGCTCCCCCCTTAGGTAGGAGATGGTGGTGCACACCTTAGTTTTATCAGTCGCGTAAGTCCGCGGTTTCAGGTCGTACATCAGCTTGCAGGCTGAAATGAAGGAGCGATAGTTTCTCCTCTCCCCATGGAAAGGCTCAGGGGGACTGATCTTAGGCTCTGAAGGTTCCGGAAAGGGGGGTCGATTGGCAATATTCTCAGAGATAAAGGCTCTGAGAGTCCTATTCTCTGCCTGTACCTCGGTCATTTTGAGGGTGAGAGCCTCCAGTCTTTGGTTGAAAGCCACCATGTGAGATCTTATCTCCGCTGGCTCCATCTTAACAAGTTCAATCTCACGTGCTCTGGCCCAGGAGTACGTGATGGTAAGTAAAACAAACCAAACAATCTCAGAGCCTCATCGTACCGCCTCCTAGCGCCAGCCGACTTCTATAGATAGGGAAGTGGGAGAGAATGTAACTATTTATATAAGTATCCCCTGTTGGTGATTCTCTTATCAATAGTAGGCAGTTCAATATGTTACTTCACATATATATACTGTTAGTGATGGCAAAGTGAGCACAGGATATAGAGGTGTTTATATGTTACATCACATATAATATTATGAGCAATGCCCCTTATGGTTCTATTCCCAGCACAAATGATAGAAGAGAGGGGTAATAGGATTGAGGCTATTAGTAGTGGAATCACAGTCAATATGACAAGGTGATATTCTATGTAGATCCAGCAGGTGGCGTCAGAGTACTCACAACTTCACAGACAGTTCGTATCCAGCATGTGTTTGGTTATACTATTCAGCCTCTCTGGTCGGCAGAACCAGAGAGGAATACTTGCGATTAGGAGCTTCTGGAGGACGGCTGTGCAATCTCTGTCTGGCGTTCACCTCAGGTTGTTGGAACGCCAGACCTCCGTCTTGCCGTTGCTTATGTTGCGGCGGGGGGAGTTCCCGGATGACGTAGACAGACCGGGGGCGGAGCCACCCCTCGCGTCCGTGACGCTACACGGCCGGGTCTGAGGGGAACGTTACACCACCACAGCACTTCATTCAGGTTGAGGTCTGGACTTTGAGTAGGCCATTGCAACACCTTGGTTCTTTTTTTTTCCCAGCCGTTTAACACAGGGCAAAAGGAGCAGACCCAGACCCAGTCATTGTTGTGGGGCTCAAAGTAGCCTTTGTGGGGCCCCTTGAGCCTGCAGAAGATGCACATGCAGCACTGATCTGTTTACTATGCGATCAGCATCTCATAGTGTTGCTCCGCCCCTGGCGTACGCTGTGTAGCATGACCGTGTGACGTCTCATGCGGGGTCACGTCTCCTTCCTATCTGCTCTTCAGGGAGGAGGACGTCGCGCGAGGGCAGCTTCTGTCTTGTCACACATGCCAATCAGAAGGGTGAGATCTGACATGTGGACTGAGCTATCACTACACTACAGGGACAGAGGCAGTACGGGGGGGACAAGAAAATATTTGCCCAGGGTCCAATCAATTTTAAAGTTGTTGATTTGCTGGTATGCTTGGGATCAACTTTAGCTGTCGGGCAGATGGCCTCGCATTTGACTCTAAAAAAAGTTGGTATGCAAAGGGGTTCATGTCGGCTCAATGACTGCAAGGTCCCCAGGTCCTGTGGCTTCAAAAAAGCCCAAATCATCACCCCTCCACCACTGTGCTTGACAATTGGTATGAGGAGTTTGTGTGCTGATATGCTGGGTTTGGTTTTCGCTAAACGGGACGCTGAGCATTATGGTCTCATTTGTCCAAAGGAAAGTTTCTTGTGGTTTGTTCAGATGCAAGTTTGCAAACCTAAGCCGTGCTGCCATGTTCTTTTTAGATAGTAGAGGCTTTCTCCTGGCAACCCTTCAAAACAAACCATACTTGTTCAATCTTTTTCCAATTGTACTGTCATTAACTTTAATGTTTAGTATGGTAACTGAGGCCTGTAGGGTCCGAGATGTAACTCTTGTTTTTTTTTTTATTTCTCTGAGCATTGCACAGTCTGACCTTGGGGTGAATTTGCTGGAACGTCCACTCCTGGGAAGATTAGCAACTGTCTTTATTGTTTTCCCCTTGTGAATACTCTTCCTCACTGTAGAATGATGGAGTTTAAATTGTTTGGAAATGGCCTTCTAACCCTCCCCAGATTGATGGGCATCAACAAGATGGCGCCGTCTCCTCTTCACCTCCAGGCCGCATATGTCCTTCTACCCAGGACGCCGATGACCGTTGGGACGGTGGTGATCCGGCTCCTGCAGGTAATGTGCCTGATGTCCGCAGTTCCCCTGCCTCCACTTCGTCTCTCATAGAGGGAACGCTGGAAGACATGTTTCTGTCCCAGCATGTTTCCTCTCCCCTGAGCCCGGGCATGCTGGAGAAGGCCCAGAACTCAGATGCTGTGGACATGCCTGCCTGTGTCTCCTCTTCACCTCCAGGCCGCATGTCTCCTTCTACCCACGACGCCCATGACCGCTCAGACGGTGGTGATCCGGCTCCTGCAGGTAATGTGCCTGATATCGGCAGGTCCCCTGCCTCCACTTCGTCTCTCATAGAGCGAACGCTGGAAGACTTGTTTCTGTCCCAGCATGTTTCCTCTCCCCAGAGCCCGGGCATGCTGGAGAAGGCCCAGAACTCAGATGCTGTGGACATGCCTGCCTGTCCTGCATTGCTGTCCAAAATATACGATTTATTTGATATGGGACTCAATAAAATGGCCACAAGAATTACTACAGATATCAGATCAGATCTACAAGCCCTGGGCACCCGAATTGACGTTTTGGAATCTAAATTGGACACGGTTGCCCTGCTAATCACAATACCACCTGTATTCAGGACTTACATGGCCAGCTTGAAGAGGCCCTGTCTAAAATTGACGACCTTGAAAATAGGTCACACAGATACAACTTTTGCGTCAGGGGGTTCACTGAGTCAGTGACTGATTTGGATGCTGCTATAGGCTCCCTAATTAAAGAATTGCTTCCTGATCTTGAAGATCATCGTTTAGAGCTGGACCGTGTTCATAGAGCACTTGCTGCGATTCGCTCAGACGGTGCCCCTAGAGATGTTGTGGTAAAGCCTAATTTCTACCATGTCAAAGAAGCTGTCATGCGCAAGGCTAGAGAGCGCTCTGAACTGTCCTTGCTGGGACACTCTATTTAACTTTTTGCTGACATTTTGCCTTCTACTATCCAGAAACGCTGCTCTCTGAAACTACAAGTGCTCACCGCTAAAAGCGTTAAATATCACTGGGCCTTCCCATTTCGATTGTTGTTCTCCTACAAGAATAAGTTTAATTCCTTTGCTACATTTACTGATGAGGAACGTCTCTTACTGCAATTGGGCATGATTTCCACGGAGTCCCTGGCCTTTACTTCAGCCTCTCCTGATCGTCCCACCAGTGCTTCCTCAAGACTACTCTCTCCGCTATGGTGTCGAGTCGGAAACCGCAAGTTTTCATCAACTCTCAATGCTGGATGAGGCTTTCATGTCGTTTAAATGCTCTTTCTCATACTTTCATATAACCTGGTTATATGATATTGAGTGCCAATTGTTTTGACAGTTTTTATATACTGTACATGCCATTTTGGTAGTTTTGGTTCTTATTCCACTGAAAGTAACCTTATTCTCTATAGTTCAATTTTATACCGAATACAGGGTCATTATTGGTTAATGTTCATGCTTTATGATTATTGATATCTGCTGCCTTACGAAAATGTATCTTTGATTATCTATACTATGGGGTGGGGCTTGGCCGTTGCAGGTGGCCGTGCACCCTGGATTAGTTTAGGTCTGGGGCTGTTTTCCCTTTGCCTACACCAATCCCTGTGTCACCTTTGTGCTCACACTTCTGGAGTATTTTGGAGTGGGGGTGACTACCTCACCCATGTTGCACTGTATGTTTTTTTGCTTTTGTGTTTCCCCCTGTCTTTTCCCCGTTCTCCTCCTTCTCTCTTTTTTCTTTTTCCTTCCTTCCTTCCTAAGATCTGGGACTTTGTACTTTCCATATTTTGGCATCCCCTGTTAATAGACTGGACACCTTCACCCCTATGGCAAGGCTATACGGCACCTCAGCTTTGGTATGTACTCTCAAGAAGGATCCCTAATTGCATGACTCCATGATGGCGACCGGTACACCCTTCTTATTAGCGACTCATAAGACCTGGGGCCTTAATTCTCCAGTCAAGAGACGCACAGCCTTTAATTATTATCATTCTCAACATGTGGATGTTGTGTTTCTACAAGAGACACATTTTCCTATCTCATATCAGCCTAAGTTCTTGCACAAACAATATCCATAGTTTTATCTGGCCAATGCGGTAGATAAGACTAAAGGGGTAGCGATTTGCTTTTCTAAGGCTGTGTCGTTTCATCTTGAGCTGGAGATTGGGGACCCTGAAGGTCGCTATTTACTGTTGAAAGGCTACATTGAGGACCACCTGTTTACATTTATTTTCTACTATGCTCCCAAAAATGCTCATTGATTTTTTTCTGAAGATATGGGTAAACAACTTGATTTAACAGCCTTTGAATGTGGGATGATTGTTGGCGCTATTCCCCGGCCCACTTGAGTTATGGGAGGATTGACCATCTCTTTGTCTCCCTTCGGTTGTGCCCTTGGTCGCTTCCTCTAAAATTAGAGAAATATCCTGGTCAGATCACTCTATGCTTATCCTGTCGATGTCACATATGAGGGACCCAGATAGGTAATTTTGTTGGAGACTGAACGAATCACTTTTGAGTGATCCGGCCTCTCCATGCTCCATGTTGGAATCTCAACTCACTTCTTATTTCCAACTCAATGTCACCATCTACTGTATCCCCCCTAACGATCTGGGCAGCGCACAAAGCGACTATCAGGGGTTGGCTCATAGCCTGTGCCTCAAAATCTAAGAAACAGGCCCTGAAGCACATAAGCGAATTGGATGCTAGTCTTCAAAAACTATCCTGTGACCATAAACGCACTCCAACACTTGCTCTACAGGCAGCCTGGAAACTACCCGCTTAGAATTTAACATTTAAAAGTTCAAAGAGTTTTACCCCATGTGTGGCGCTCGTCAGAGGCGGGGCGAGTTGCGCTACTTGGTGGGTACCCCGTATGTGACTGAAATTTGGGAGGATTTCTGTGTGGAAAGTTTGAAGGCGGGGGGAGGGGGGGTTTTGTTTACCCCCTTGTGGACCAATAGAAGCGTCTTTATCTTTTTTGGCCGGTATATAGATGGTATTATCATCATCTGGGACGGCCCAACCGACACTATTCAGGAATTCGTGCCATACTGCAACACTAACCCCTCCGGTCTAAGTTTCACCCATGTCACAGACCAGTACAGTCTAATCTTTTTAGACCTGGAACTCACACACTCAGATGGCAAAATTATCACCAGAACACATTTTAAACCCACGGCGGGCAACTCTTACCTTCACTTTAAAAGCTGCCACCATCCCCTTTGGAAACAAAACATCCCTAAACGACAATTTTGGAGAGTGAACAAGAACTGCACCAAGAAAGAGGACTATGTCAAACAAAGCTGCATCCTAAAAGACAAATTTCTAGAAAAAGGCTACCCGAAACACCTCATCACCAGGGCCCGCGACCAGTTCACCACAACGATTCAAAAACCACCATCTAAAAAACGGGTCAACCCACACCCCAAAAAAGTAGCTCGCTTCATCACCCCTTTCAATAATAAATACAAGGCCATCGAAGCCATCCTTCGAAAAAACTGGCATCTGTTACTGTGCGACCCCCAACTAGGTCCACTACTCCCACCTAAACCATCCGTCATCTTCAAAAAAGCCTGCAGCATCAAGAACATAGTGGCCCCTAGCAAAGTTTCCTTCCCTTTACCAAAACTCAGACAGACACTTCTGTTTAACAACATAACAGGGGTACACAAATGTAAAAAACGTCTGTGCCTCACATGCCAATTCATCACCCACGGCCAGTCCCACTTCCAGGACAGGTTGGGCAACAAATTCCCAATCACCCAGTTCATCACCTGTGCCCATGACCACGTCATCTATTGCCTACAATGCCCCTGCAATCTATTCTATATAGGCCGTACTATCCGCCCCCTCCGCAAACGAATCGGGGAACATAGGAGGTTCATCGAGGATGGCTGTACTGGACACAGCATTCCCCGCCATTTTCTCCTAAAACACCAAAAGAACCCAGTCCACCTGAAAGTTTTTGCGATAGAACAGATACCGGATAAACTACCACCAGCTGAAAGATTCCACCGCCTCTGGGATAGGAAGTGATGTAATGCTTGCAGGCCTACATCTTGGGGGATAGATGTGTAAAGAGAACATACATCTAGAGAGACCCAGTGGTATGTGGCTTCCCAAGAGTAGTGATGTAATGTCTCAATGAGGTGGCTGGAGTCTCTGAGGTAGGAAGGTAGTGTGATAACAATCGGTTGTAGAAAGTGGTCCACGTAACAGGAAAGGCCACTGGTGAGGCTCTCGATACTGGAGATTATGGGGCGGCCCGGCGGTGTGCTGCAGTTTTTGTGGATCTTTGGCAGGTGGTAAAAGAAGGGGGTGTTGGGTTGTGGGGGGCAAAGGAACGATTTTTCTTTTTTGGTGATGATTTTACCTTCGAAGGCTTTATCAGTGAGGGTTTTGAGGGAGGAGAGGAATTGGGAAGAAGGGTCTGAGTCTAATTTCTGGTAGGTGTTGGTTTAAGACAGAAGCCGTAGTGCCTCTTTGATATAGTCGTCGCGATTTTGGATTACTATGCCTCCACCCTTGTCTGCTTGTCGGATTACAATTTGTTTATTGTTGGTCAGTTCTTTGAGTGCTTTTTGTTCTGCTTTGGAGAGGTTGGTTTTTTTCGTGGTATTTCTCTGATGCTCTTTGTTCGGTTTGTTCGCATCGCACTGCTCTGTGATGCGTCGCATAACTTCACAAAGTCCGTGTAAGTGACCTGGTAGAATGTCTCTAAGTATGGCCCTTTGGATTTGCGGGGGTAAAAGCTGGAGGGGGGGCGGAGTTGGGTGTGCATGAAAGTGGGGCTGGAAAGGTTGTCGAGTAATTGTTCGTATGGGAACGCTGGGTCTGCTAGTTCCTCCAGTATAGCTAGTATCTCGGTGTCTGGTTCCGTGTCTGGGGATGTGGGGGCTGGGTTGGTGGATGGCGGTTCGACTACAGTGTCTGTCGGTGTGTTGCTATTGTAATGTCTTTTGAGGGTGAGGTTTCGGATGAATTTGTGCAGGTCTTTGAAGAGGGTGCTCCACTCCACCACACGGCCCTCGTAAAATCGAATTATCGACCTACCATATGGCGCTTCCGTTCTCCAATTTTTGTTTCCTATTAGCACACCTGTTGGACACCACGGAAGCTGCACACCTACAGAGCAATATAAGACGCTTCTATTGGTCCACAAGGGGGTAAACAAAACCCCCCTCCCCCGCCTTCAAAGTCACATACGGGGTACCCACCAAGTACCGCAACTCACCCCGCCTCTGACGAGCGCCACACATGGGGTAAAACTCTTTGAACTTTTAAATGTCCTCACGCCTACCCAGTAGGCGACACCAGTGGTAACTTTACTCCCCTGGCAGCACTCAAGGCCTACACTGCCCACCCCAGATTTATAAATAATATAAAAACACAATAAATACTACCCCCATGAAAACCAAAACTGCCACCCAGAAACCCACTAGGGCACCACCAAACATTCCCTCCCTCTTCTCCATCCACCCCCAACCTGACACCAAGAGACTGCTCTAAGAAAATTATTCCTCCAATTGCAAAACCTGTCCTTTGACAAAAACACACAATGGTGGGACATAAAATTCCTCCAAAAATACTTAGAATTAAAAATCACGCCAAGAGGGTTACGGATCACCAAAGAGTGTGACTTCCTTGAGGATGATCTAAAGAAAAAATGGCAATGGGTAGCAGAGTTCGGCACCACCAAATGGATGAAGGTGCTCATAGAACAAAGGGAAAGGAAACTACACAAATTAACATCAGAAATAGATAAATTAAAGACCAGTTTATTCAACACTTTCGGCACCACACGCCTTTTTTTCCAGCTGGTCCTCTACCCTAACTAAAAACCAAACCATAAACCGGAAAAACATCTTCACAGCCAAATCCAAAAAACTACATAGAGACTTAACGGACTATACTGAGAACAAAGTATTCTCATGGAAAACCACCACACACACCAAATCCCCAAAAAAACCACCACCACTTATGTCTCTCCTCTCCTACCCATCCAAACACATAACCAGTTTGGTTTGGGATGATTCTAAAACCAAGTATGTTTTGCCCACACCGCCTCCTTACCCAGCCAGCACCAACCACAGTCCCACACCCAACCCAGCCCCGACCACCAACTCGCTATCACCCACCCACGCCACCCTACCCCCGCCAGCGACTCCCACTCAAGTCGCTCCCCCAAACTCTCTAAATCCCAACCTTAACCCCGCCTCGATGTCAAACAAGCCCGGCCTTGTTTCCCCGCACACCCAACAACCACCTTCTCTCCCACTACAAAAGGGACCCACCCCTGTCCCCAACCCCACCTCAGACCCTGGCTTACCCCACTCCTCGACTGCCTCCCTGTCCCCATCCTCCCTACAGCAGCATTTTTTAGAATTAGGCCCCCCGCGCCCACCAAAAAGAAAAAAACGAGAAGAGGGAGAAGAGGAGGAATACGATCCGTCCGTTGCAAAAAGGGAACGTCAGACCCCAAACATGCAACCATAAAGATCTTCAATCTTTCAAACCACATTCTATCCACCCACGAAGAATCCTTACTCAAGAAAGGTCTTAACTTTGCACTTGACATCAAACCCAACTCTTTCACCCTCTTCAAAGACCTGCACAAATTCATCCGCAACCTCACCCTCAAAAGACATTACAATAGCATCCCACCGACAGACACTGTAGTCGAACTGCCATCCACCAACCCAGCCCCCACATCCCCAGACACGGAACCAGACACCAAGATACTAGCCATACTGGAGGAACTAGCAGACCCAGCGTTCCTATACGAACAATTACTCGACAACCTTTCCAGCCCCACTTTCATGCACACCCAACTCCGCCCCCCCCTCCAGCTTTTACCCCCGCAAATCCAAAGGGCCATACTTAGAGACATTCTACCAGGTCACTTACACGGACTTTGTGAAGTTATGCGACGCATCACAGAGCAGTGCGATGCGAACAAACCGAACAAAGAGCATCAGAGAAATACCATGAAAAGAACCAACCTCTCCAAAGCAGAACAAAAAGCACTCAAAGAACTGACCAACAATAAACAAATTGTAATCCGACAAGCAGACAAGGGTGGAGGCATAGTAATCCAAAATCGCGACGACTATATCAAAGAGGCACTACGGCTTCTGTCTGACACCAACACCTAAACTTTATTTAATACGGCCCTAGGTACCATTTTGACAGTATCTGGGCACACCACCCTAATCAACATGGCCGCAGTACGTCGGCTAATCATGCCCACCTCGTCAGTCATATCTTTGACTCGGGAA